CCACTCTGCGTCTGTGCTTTCCAGGTATTGGGAAGGTCGTGTGCCAGGAGCTGGCTCGCCGAGGGGCCCGCGTGGTCCTCGCCTGCAGGGACCCAGAACGTGGGCGCAGAGCCCTCGCCGACATCCAGGCCGCGTCTGGCAGCGGCCGCCTGCTGCTCGGGGAGCTGGACGTCAGCTCTCTAGCCTCAGTCCGGCGCTTCGTTCAGTGGCTTTTACAGGAAGAGCCCGAGATCCACCTGCTCGTCAACAACGCGGCCATCTCTGGTGCGTGCCTTCGCCTACGACCGCAGATGCGTCCAGAGCTCCCTTTTCAGCTCAGGACCCTCAAAACAGGACCCCTCAGAGCCTTGCCCACTCCTTCCACGTGCCGCTTGCCCAGAGGCGCTCGGCTTTCCCTTTATGGGCCCAGGAACCCACTGCTCAGGGCCTCACTGGTCCCTGGGTCTCCTGCTGTCTGTGGTGGTCCAGCCTCTCTGTCCCCCGAGTTGAGGGGCTGATCTCTGAGTCTCTCCCACTGTCTGTGGTGGTCCAGCCTCTCTGTCCCCCGAGTTGAGGGGCTGGTCTCTGAGTCTCTCCCACTGTGATGGTCCAGCCTCTCTGTCCCCCGAGTTGAGGGGCTGGTCTCTGAGTCTCTCCCACTGTCTGTGGGGGTACAACCTCTCTGTCCCCTGAGTTGAGGGGCTGATCTCTGAGTCTCTCCTGCTTTCTCTGGGGGTTACAGCTTCTCTGTCCCCCGAGTCAAGGACCTGGTCCCTGGGTCTCTCCTGATGTCTGTGGGGGTACAGCATTTCTGTCCCCTGAGTCAAGGACCCGGTCCCTAGATCTCTCCTGCTTTCTCTGGGGGTTACAGCTTCTCTGTCCCCCAAGTCAAGGACCTGGTCCCTGGGTCTCTCCTGATGTCTGTGGGGTACAGCCTCTCTGGTTGAGCTCAGGGCTCTCAGGTCCTCAGGATGGGCACCTGCCCAGTTCTTATCTCTTGGTGATGCTGTGGTCCACCTCTGGATGGGCCATTCTGAGCCTAGCAGGATGGCAGAACTGATGCACCCCACATCTGCATAGCACATGCCTTGTTTTCCTGGTCTCCCTCTTATAAGGATGCCATCCATCTTATTTACATGAGGGATCTGGTCTCCTTGGTGGGCCACGGACACCTTGTCTTGTGTCCCTCCACCCAGCCAGGGAGCTCTGGGGGTGCAGAGCGTGGGGAGTTGGGCTGCTCCCCCAAAGGCTGGCACGTCTGTTGGTTTCAGCCTGTCTGCAGCTTCTCGGGGAAAGGGTGGGCATGCTGTCATGTTCTGTCCATGGCTCCCAAAAGCCCACCAGATGGCAGCTGAGTTGGTCCAGCTCGCAGATGTGCGTGAGGCCGAGGGTCCCAATCGTTGGACAAAGGGGGTGACTGGACAAGCCCTCACCTGTGCCATGTCATGGACCTCACCACCCCAGCTTTGCATATCTGTGACCCGATGGCCTGTCTGCTACACCTCAGTGTCTCCATCCCAGTTCTTATCCCCACGGGGTGGTCACTCCATCATCCATTGCAGTGTCCTCATCTCCTCTGTCCCCTCAGGGTGGTCACTCCATCGCCCACCACTGTGCCCTCATCTCTTCCCAGGAATTCTCCCGAAGACACTCACTCCAGAGGGCCTGGATGTCACCTTTGCCACCAACTACATTGGGCCCTTTCTGCTCACAAACCTGCTCCGAGGTAAGGAAGGCGGGGTGCCAGGCGGGGTGCCGCACCGCGTTCCCAGGCCCCTGCCCCTCCCACGATGACCTTCAGCAGTGTGGCCAGCACCTCTCTCAGCAGAACCTCCTGGGCACAAGTCTGTGGTACCGAGGTACACACTGGGGGGGGGGCCTTGCTGATTAGGGGGCAGCACCAGCTTGAATGTGATCCCGGCCGGGGAGTGGCTCCAGGCTTCCCTTCCCCGTCGCTGTGAGCCTGGCCACCGGTTCTCCGGACACCTCCCCTCTCTGACCGTAAGCACCCAGTTAGGTCACTTCATCCTGTTGTTGGGCACCTCATCTCGGCCCCTTGAATGACAGACGTGAGCCTTGGCCCGTCCTGTGTCATCCCCACCGTCTTCACCCTGGGCAAGCCCGTGTTCCAGCCTCTGTGTCAGTCCGTCTTGTTGAAGGTCTTCCGCTCTTCCTCTGACCCTCCGCTCTTACCGGCGTGAAGTCTGTCCGAGGTCCGGCCCCTCGGCACGACTTGCTCAGAGTACGCGATACACTTTCACTGCCAGCCTCCCAGGGGCACTGGTTACCTCTTCTCCAGCACCTTAGTTTAAAGGCTTCGATTCTCAGGACCGTTGCTGGCCGCCCGGGACCAGCTGCTTGCCGGGCAGCTCGGGAACCTGTACCGCTCCCAGAGCTGGAGACCAGCTGTTCCCCAGGCCTCTCTGCAGGCCCCTGGAGCTGGGTCAGTGTGGTAGATAGAAGGATTCTGTCTTTCAGATCAACTGCTGGGCAGGCAGACACCATCCTCTTCCCACAGGACCCTGTGGGTCCCTCATTTCTCCAGAGTGGCTTGCAAAACTCGGGGACCACTACCTACATAGCTTAGAATACACCCACATGAGGACCCGTCAGGCCAGCTGCAGGCCAGCGCCCGGCTCGAGGCTGCTGCCGTCCCCAGGGAACACTCCCTCCTTGCTTGGTGTTCTCACCGGTCCAGGAAGCTGTGCCCCTGTGAACCTCTCGTCTCAGTGCCCATGCCTGGGGGGACCTCAGTGCATGTACTGCTTGGCGCCTGATTGCATATGTGTCATTGGTGTCTTGCATATGCCAAATGATTGACGGACGCCTCGGTGCGTGTGCACCGAGGTTTGATGCCAGGGTGGGGTCTGCGTGGTCCCTGCTTGTTAGAATATGTCCGAGTGTTGCCTGGCTATTTTAGAAAAAAACAAAGACACTGAGAGGCATCCCATGATGGGGAGACAGAGCCGAACCAATCCTTTGTCCTGCAGTCAGGGCGCGCAGAGCACAGCCCATCCAGCCCGGACCCAGCCGGCCCCTCTCAGGCTCGGGGCTCTACCCCAGCCAATAAGCGCCCCCCCTTTTATTTTTTGGTAAAAGAGATCTATAGAGCTTATTGCAAACTCTATTCTCTCCATTTTCTTTGTGTGTTACTTAGGGTTTTAACTGTTTGAGGTGTATATGTGGTTGTGGTGAAAATATGGATAATAAAATATTTACCGTTTCACCAGTTTTTACGTATACCGCAGCCCCCTCGCCTGCATTCTGAGCAGTGGCCCCTTCTCGGCTTTTCCAAGCCAGTCCACCGCTGTGGACGTATCCTTGGAGCCTTGAAGGGCTCTCCCCGCCACCCTCGTCGTCCCTGGTCTTCCCTTTCCAGACATAGACTCATTTCCTGTGAAGTCATGTCCTCTTGTGACTGATGTCTTTTGCTCAGTGTTATCTTTCAAGGTTTGTCCGTGTTGGTGTTGCCGACGTCGGAGGATTTCCTCTGTGTTGTTATGTGCCGTCAGGTTGTGTATGACGCACGGTGACCCCGTGAACAAAAGCTCTGAGCCCTGCTCTGTCCTGCGCCGTCCTCACACGTCCTGACACCCGTGACGCTCATCAATTCTTGGCTCTTTGGCACACAGTAATGTTCCTTTGTGGGTGTATTACTCCATGTCTGTCTGTGTTATTGTTGATAGATGCCATCGGGTCAACCAGACCCTTAGTGACCCTGTGAGTGATGGCTCTGAACCCTGCCCTGTCCTGAGCCAACTTCACCGCCTCTGACACATCTGACCGTGTTGCCACAGTCGCTGTGTCATCCAGGGCTGCCTTCTGTGCTGTCCCTCCACCCTTCCAAGCATGATGTCCTTCTTCAAGGACTCATCCCTCCTGGTCACGTGCCCAAAGTATGCAAGACAGAGCCCCAAAATCCTAGCCTCCAAGGAGCGACCAGGCTTCCGCCTCTCCAGGACAGACCTGTTTGTTCGCTTGGTGTCAGTCTTTAGAGAGTATATATTATTCTGTAGAGGTCCAGGGCCAGCCAAAGAGAGAAGCCCTTCACCAGAGGAGAAGCCCCAGTGATGCCCAGCATGGGCACGCGTGATGACGTTATGATGGGGCAGGACAGGACACAGGCTGTTTCTGTAAAGCTGCGGTTAGTTGACTCAGTGGCATTGACACCAGGACTGTGTGCCCAGCATGCCAGTCTCCACCTTCTGGCTGTTGGGCAGAGGAGGAGGAGAGGGGACGGAGAGAAGGGGCTCCTTTCCCCAAGAGCCCCGGGTCCCTCTGAGTGTAGGTGCAGACCCTACCTTGGGCCAGGGGGCCGCTGTCTGTGTGAGGGTTTGGGGCCCTCGCTGGCCTTCTAGGCCTGCTGACCTTCCCCCCTGGGTTGCTTAATAGCCTCTTACATAAAAGTAAAGGAACATTTGCCTTTTGGTTGGGTGGTTCAGGTTCAAAGTCAAAATGTACAAGGAGCACAAAAGTTAGTTCAACGAACAAAGTTGTACTTCAGTTACTCTTTCTAGTTAACTGTAAGGGGACAGTGATTCCCAAGGCCTCCTCTGTCCTTGAAGGATTAAATTAGCCCCAGACAGAAAGTAACCAAAGTTTAGTTAGTTTAGACCAAGTTTAGACCAAGCTCCAGGTTTCTGCAGGTGGGAATGTCCTCCTTTCACAAAAATCGACGCCACCAGAGGCATGCAGAGGGCAGGCCTGAGCCAATTCTGACTTCCAGTCCTGCAGAAACTTCCAGGGGGAAGGGTTCAGTCGTTGGTCTCAGAGCCCGAGAGCTGGTGTGCGGACAGGAGAGCAGAGGTCCCTGCGCAGAGTTCCTCTCCCGGCCGCCAGCGCAGCCAGGGCTCTGGGCAGGGAGCCTGGACACAGAGGGTGGAGGCCTGGCCCAGGAGTCAGCAGAAACAGCACCGAAGCTGCCCCGAGGCCTAGGTGTAAACCTCCCCACTCCACCGGTGTTCTAACTGGAACCTGATTGCATAGATTCGTGAATCGGGTCATTTCTAGTACCACTAGCGAAGAGCTCCCCCGAACAAGGACACACCAGCGGTAAATATCAGTAACGAAAACTCGGGAGGTGGCGGGCGGCCCAGCGGATTTTCCTCGGCACTCTGACATGAGAGCGGGCTGGTGGTTGTCCGCATTATGGGCACTCGGTGCCGTGGGGCTGGGTCTGACTCACGCTCCGCTGGGTGCCCGAGGGGTAGGTCCCGCAGCAGGAGGCTGCCCCCTTGTACCTGAGGAGCTGCCGGGTGGGTCAGCATCACTGCCTGCAGCCTTGGCCCTGAGAGAGACTCGTGCTCTAGTGGGTAAGGGGCCGCACTGCCAGCCCCAAGGCAGATGGTTCGGCTCCAGGAGCTTCTCCGCAGGAAAAGGATGAGCAGTCTCCTGCGTGATTAACGCCTCTGAAAACCCACTGGGTTTTAACCACTGAGCCACCAGGGCTCCCCACTAGCCATTTTTGGTTCTTTGTTGCACATTGACCTCCCCCCCCCCAGCCCTCTGGCAGTGCGGGCTTTCAGATGCTGTCCTACACACAGGGGCCAGTCAGATACTCCTTCCGGTCAGTTCTTCCCCCATCGATTCTCCTGCTGTTCTCTCTGCCCAGCCGCTCTTCCCAGCCTCTTCCCACCTCTCCGCCCACATCTGCCCTATTTTATGACAGCTGTGATACGCGGTGTTTGTCCTTTTGTGTCTGAAGTGTCTCAGCAGAGTGTCCTCCGGGCCCTCCCATGTTGTATAATGTTTTAGGGATTCATTGATTTTCGCCCACCAGCCTTTAAATTATTGCTACGCAAGTTGATTCCAACGTGCAGTAACCCTGGACAGAGCAGCACCAGCTCCCAGGGTTCCCAAAGCCGTAGTCGTTATAGAAACGAACTTCCACATCTTCCCTCTCCGTGGAGCGACTGGCAGGCTTCAGCTGTGGGCTTCTCGGAACAAAGTGCTTCACCGCCTGTGCCACCAGGGCTCGCGGTCACTCGCCAACGAGCGGATTCAAATCAGAACACTAAGACAGTGGAGAAACACTGTTCCTCCTCTCTTGCTGCTGAGGATGTCGGTAGGTGCCAGTGTGTGACCAGGGATCCTCACCACCCGGTGAGCGATGGCTCTGACCCTGACCTGTCCTGAGCCAGCCTCACCCTCTCTGACCTGCCCCCATGACCACAGTCACTGTGTCAGCCCATCTCATCCTGGGTCTTCCTCTCCTGCGCTGTCCCTCCACCCTCCCAAGCATGACGTCCTCCTCGAATGACTAGGGTTTCCCTGAAATAGGAATAGAAAATGTGCAGCCACTCGATTGAACATGTCGGCAGTTCTTGACAAAGTGGCCCGTAGAACTGCCGTGTGACTCCACTGTCCCCGACCAAGGCTTGCACGCAGGAGAGGAGGCGTCAGGACGCACACAGAGATCCTGGGCCCCAGCGTTCACTGCGGCACTTCTGCCCTGAGCCCAGTGGTAGGAGGAACTGAGGTGCACAGGATCAGTGGGTGGGCAGACACGCTCGGGCCTGGTTACACACAGCGGGGCACGGATGAAGGTGGTCGTGCAGCTCAATCGCACAGGTACAGCGTGGAGGCTGCGTGGAGGCTTTCTTAGGCATATTTTCACCACAGTACAGCTTTTAAAAGTTTCTTGATCTTTCTTCTCTGTTATTCTATAATCTGTTCTCCCTTCTCTGCCTCTTCTTGAACTCACCCTTCACCACACTGCTTTCCTCCCAAATGCTAACCCTAACCCTAACCCTAACCCTGTCCGTTGCGCCTCCCCCGTCATCATTTCTCCACACAAGGCCCTTGCAGGCTCAATTCTGGACCTTCCCGGCCCGCTACCATCTGCAGTTCTTGGACCATGGTCTCATTTTCCGTCCTTACAATCCCAAAGCCCAATTTGAGCTGGTCCACCCAGACCTTTCCCTGCCCTGCCGCTGTGTCCCTGCCCCTCCCACACCTCCACGGTTCTCCCCTGTGCCCCGACATCCTTCTCATCTCTCACTGTCCCTTGGGCTTTCAGTTACCTCATATGCTTAGAGACCACGGTCTTAGACTAAATTCTTCACCAGCATTAATACCAGCTGCTGAGTTATAAATGTGTGATTCTTTAATGTGGGACTCAAGTTCTTTTTAAGCATTGAAGGTCAGTATTGTAAACTCAACCTGAAGCACTACTTTTTTAAAAAAAAATAATTTTAATGAAAGTTTATAGAGACTGAGGGTTTCCACTCATTCATTGTTGCACTTTTTTCCCTACCCACCTCCCTCCAATTCACTCTTCTCCTTGAAAAGAAAGAAAAACTCATTGTTATTCAATCCCTCCGCCCCCTACTTTTTTTTTTAAATGAACCACTACTTTTATATTTCCTGAAGCCTATATTTTTTGTATAGTTGTGTACTCATTTCTAAAAATCACGTCTTATCCTAATTATAACCTTGCGTTTGCGCCTTTGGAAGGTAGGTCATTCTTACCAGTTAGCCGGTCTTTGTTCTGGTGGTGGTGGTGGAGGAG